TCTCACAATGCAAGATTGTTTAACGAAATATTGTATAGCACTAGCAATACCAAACATTAGAGCAGCCACAATAGCAGACGCTTTCGCGAGACATTTTATTGCCATATATGGAACACCACGAGCAATATTAACAGACAAGGGAACTAGTTTTATCGGAAGCTTAATGAAAAATCTTTCAGAAATATTCAAAATCAAACAAATCACAACTTCTGGATACAGACCACAAACTAATGGATCACTAGAACGAAGTCATATAGTACTAACAGAATATCTTAAACATTACATGGATAATTATGAAGATTGGGACCTACTAATACCATTTGCCATGTTTTCTTATAATACTTCCGTACATGAAGCAACAAATTTCTCTCCATATGAATTAATATTTGGAAAACCAGCCCGTGAACCAAGTTCGTTTCCAACTGGCGAAAGGTTAAAATCATATGGCGACTATTTAACAGAATTAATAACTCATACTATAAAAATCCGCAACATAGCAGCCGATAATTTGATTGCCTCCAAGCACCGTTCGAAGAAGTACTATGATAAACATTCCCGACCGGTAGAATTCAATGTAGGCGATTATGCTTATGCATTGCTAGAACCACGAATTAGTAAATTTGATCCACATTATGTAGGGCCATATGAGATCATTAATGTAACAGATATGAACAACCAACTGAGAGGGACACCAGTCGCATCGAGCTGCTGATGAACTTGACGGCCCGCCTGTGCATGCGCAGCACTTGCTACAGATTAGACGTTGGCATTGTCTGTATGCAGTGTGCTCTCGAAGCAGCCCTTGGAGCAGCAAGGATCTATGACATGGTGGAGGTACACTATCCACTACCAACGGCATATCCGCCTGGGGCCTGCGATATTTGCAGCGCGCCCCTGATGGAGTTGCAGGCCGCCTACCACTGCGAGGAGTGTATTGCCGCCATCATCATGGAAATGGAATACCAAAGAGCAAACCAACCCATACCACCGCCTGCAATAGTACCAACCTGGTACACCGAGAGACAAATCCGATCGAGGCAGCCTGGACCCAGACGTACGCTTCGACTTCATACCGCAGTTAGCAGCATCACCAACCATCACACGTAGCGATAAGTACACACACATCACACATAACACCCGACATATTGCATTACAACACCAAAACTTCAACACATTCTAGTGAGTGTTTTCCTTTCCAATTGAAAGCATCACGATTACCGCGATGTTTCATCTAAGGGGGGAGGTGTCACGTAGACAGACCGTTTTTATCAAACGTGTCTCCTTTCAAATAAGCTTAAACATCTGGAAAGGAAAACTCTCGGGCAAACCGACCATTTACTCTCGTAATAAACAGAAGGCCCACCGATAGCAGAACCAAACACTTGGGAAAGCAATGGGTCCGCCGTAATCAAATAGCAGATGCAACCACTCTAAACTGTCGCAGAGGCAGGTGGACCCAGCCTGATCACTCGAATAGTAACCAGACCACCCTTCTTAATTAGTATATAAACCCGTTCGTACCAACGATCGGGGGCAGTACCAGAGTTCATCTCGTGTCGAGCACGTCGTGTACGGTAGTGAGTTGGTTACTATTAGTGAGATCGGGTTGAAGTCCCCTTCGAGCAACATTCACCTTATAGAATCCGCGAGTCGTGTTTCTATTTGGCATTACAATCAACCACACACAACACCCCCGCATTGCCAGTGCGTGAACACCGAGCATAGTGGAAATAGGTAATATATCACATTATACACCTATATTCGCGACAACAACATCTGTAATAGACCAAGATTGTAGAATATATACATTGCTGTGTCAAACCCACATTAGCATTCTCCTTTAAACCCAGTGAAACCTTGTGACAGTTCCTACCACAATACAATCTTACCGCTCGGGTTGTATTGATAATAAAATAAGTTACGCGGCCGCCAATCAGAAAGCCTCTGATAGCCACGCGCGCTGCCAAGTCGTCGGCCACGTAACACATGTATAGGAAAAAGTTGTTCAGAATGATGACCTAGACAACATATTTCAAGGTCACGAAAATCGGTGAGGAGGACCAACTTCTAAATAATTACCAGTGTTTTTTATAAGCAACGTAACAAAGTATATAAATTTTTCCTATTCACACTATTTTTTGAGAAATGAAGGTGACCTTCAGTTTTTTAAATGGAATGGTATATATTTTTTTATATCATATGAAAGCACGTATCAAAACGAATTCAACGATGTATCATATCATGACCTTGAGACCCACTCAGAGTCAAGAAGAAAAGAAATATTTTGATTATTTCGTATTACTGTACTTACCGGTATTTCTTATTGATATGTTTACATTTCATGTTCAATGTGGCTTCCATTAGATAGGATACACTTTTGTGCCCTGTACAATACACTTTTGGTGGCTTCTGCTATTGTTGTTTGAGGTATTGATGCACATGCGTCTGTTATCTTTTGCTTTAAATCGTTGATATTTGAAGGTGGTGTATCGTAAACGATATTTTTAACAGTACGCCATAAAAAGAAATCCAAAGATGACAAATCTGGGGATCTTGGTGGCCATTTCACAGGTCCATACGTTCCAATCCATTTGTTAAGAAAAAAATGTTGTTTAAGATATTTGACACTACTCTACAATTATGAGGTGGGGCACCATCTTGTTGAAAATAAGTCTTTAACAATGGATAATGGCAATGCTTCCCAGTAAGTTCAAAAATGTGTATCCAAAAATTCGAAATATCTGGCACCATTCAGTGTTCCACTATAAAAATAAGGTCCCAAGAGTACATTATTAATCATACCACACTAGACATTAGTACGAAACTGTACTTGAAAATTTGTTTCTCTTTTTCGTTTTGGATTTTCAGCGCTCCAGACATGAGTATTATGATGGTTAAGCAGCATATTATTATCAAAACTTGATTCATCAATCCCAAGTATTTTTTTGTAGAAACTACAATCGTTTCTATCATTCGTAAGTAGCTAATTACAAAATTCGTGCGTTGTGATAAATCACTTTCTCTTAGTCCCTGTACCATGTAGTATTTGAAAGGTTTGTAATCGTATAATTTTAAAATTTTGTGGGTTGAACCAATAGAAATATCACAAGCGGTAGCTACTTTTCGTATTGATGTTGATGGATTTTCTTCAAAATGCAATAAAACTTATAACTTTTTTTCTTCGAACAAAGTTTCCCGATAATGACATTTCTTATTTTCTACGGAACCCGTTTCACCTAAACGTTTCGCCACCAAAACAAATTGATTTTCATTTGGTATCACTCTGTTTGGAAATTCTTCTTGGTATTTTAATTTGCAACGTCTTTTATTTTTACCGCACTCGTAATAAATACGCACCATATCTATCTTCTCTTCTCTCGAATAATGATACATCGCACTAAATATCAGCAAACGCTCTGTGAAATAATGCTCAAATAATTCTGCACACCTTGTAATAGAAGTAAACACTAACACAGCCTTAATCATAACATAAAACCACCAAAAGTGCTTTCTAGATAATGGAAGCCACATTGAACAAGAAATGTAAACATATCAATAAGAACAGTAATATAAAATATTCAAAATATTTCTCTTGTTCTTGACTCTGAGTGGGTCTCAAGGTCATAATATGATACATCGTTGAATTCGTTTCGATACGCGCTTTCATATGATATAAAAAAATATATACCATTCCATTTAAAAAACTGAAGGTCACCTTCATTTCTCAAAAAATAGTGTGAATAGGAAAAATTTATATACTTTCTTGCGTTGATTATAAAAAACACTAACACTTTTTCCTCTTTCATTTTTTTTTCATATCAATCATTTACGAGAAAAACGCTGGCTAGTAAATCTCTGAACACCCTCGTATACAACGATCAACTGAAGAACTTCGGAAACCTTTATCTATAAGACTTTTCTCAAATACTTCAAACCAGCATCTTGCTGCTTGTTTCAAACCATATATAGCTTTATTTAATTTACACACTTGATTGCTTTTACTTAAGACTCCTTCAGAAACTTTCATATAAATCTGCTCCTTTAATATGCCATTTAAAAATACAGTCTTTACATCCATATGATGTATCAATAAATTAAATTGATTTGCAAAAGCAATTATAAATCTAAAGCTCAAAATTCTAGTTACTGGTGCAAATGCAACAAGCCGTGCCTTATATATTGACAGGTTTCCGTGTTCATCATGCTTAATTGTAAATATCCATTTGCAGTCTACAAATTAGTATTTTTTGGTCTTTCTACTAATGTCCAAGTTTTATTTACTAAAAGCGAATTTATTTCTTCATTAATAGCTTGTTCCCATTGAATTTTGTCATCCCTTAATTTTATTTCTGCAAATGAATTTGGAATTTTTCAAACAAACGATTGTGCACACACAAGAAGATCGTATTGTGAATTACTTTCATCGTATGAAATAAGAGGATGTTTTCTTATTCTATCACTCCTTCTAAGTTTATTTTCCACTTGTGCTTCTACTTTATCATTTTGAAATGAAGGCCCGCTTTGCGAATCTGTTTCAATTACAAATTTATTAGATTTATTATCTGATTCAACGTCAGGGGTTACTTTTTTACTCGACTTAGATATATCTGATTTATCATTATCAAATTTATGACTTCTCATCAATTTTTACTGATTTTGACTGTATGTCAGATGCATCAGGTTTACTTTTAGGATCTACATTATCTCCTTCAGTTCTCATTACTGGACGAGTTTTGTAAGTACTACTACGAATTTATCATTTTCCACATCCCACACTTTATAACTATTCGGTTCATAACCAACCAATATACCTTTCGATGATTTCTCATCGAATTTGGTTGTTCTAGTTTTATTATGAATATATACAGTAGAACCAAATATCTTTAAATATCTTAATTTGAGCTTTTTACCATGCCACAATTCGAATGGGTTTTTATTAATTTTTAAAGCTTTAGTTGGAGTTAAATTAATTAAAAATGTAGCAGTTAGAACTACCTTACCCCAAAATACTTTACCTAAATCAGCACCAGACAATATCATTGTGCGTGCTTTTTCTGTTATTGTTCTAACCATACGTTCGGAAACACCGTTCAATTGAGGGGTTCGTGGTACTGTTAAATGATAACTGTTTGAAAGTCGGGTTCGAGAGTTTTCGTATGATCGAGAACCGGTTCTGATTGAAAGGATTGGCGGTGAGACGGTGAATAGAGTTTGAGAGTCTGAAACGAACAGTCACAAAGTATATTTACAAGCACAAATTATATACACTATGTACAAGTCTGTTCGTCGAACAACACAATGAAACATAAAGCTTGAGATTGTAATACAATTCGCACGCGTCGCGTTGAATCGAGCTCGAGTTTGAGATGTATCAAAAGCCACGTGTTGGCGCAATACGTGGCCACCGCGAAATTATATTAATTTCGTGGATTTAATGAGATTGTAAACACACGCGTATGCGTGGGCCGTCGGCACTGCAATGCGGTGTTACTAGCGAGATTTTTGAACTTGAGCTTGAGATGATAGCAATGAAAACTAGACAAACGATTTCGCACGTGCTAACTAGTACAAGACTAAGAATGTTAATGGCCGCTCAACCAGCTTCGTCGCAGCGAGAACCGTTGGCTTTCTTCTCGCTGACGTAACGCTCGCTCATTGGTCGGCCTGACCAGCATCCAAGGTGGCTGCCGGTCGCGCCGCAGAGTGCTGCCGCGGTCCGCGTGAAGGCGGTAGAAATTACATTCTCGAACAGTAACTAATACCTCTCTGTACGCAATAGCCTTTCATTTCATTTGATAACAATTCTCTACCATTATCACAATATAAATTTACTACTTTTATATTAAAATGAGCTTCACTCTTTGCAATAAAATCTTTAAAAACTGAAAAAACATCTGACATATGTCAATAAATATGTTACACAATAATGAGTGAATTCGTCTACAAACAGTACGTAACAATTCTTGTTATTAATTGTGGGAGGAGTGATAGGTCCACAAACATTAGAGTGGACAATAAACAATGGTCGTTTTATATGACTTTTATCTTTAACTTTTTCAAATGGTAATTGTGCTTCTTTACCGTTTATACAAGCTTCACATAAGTTATCATTCGGTACAATTTTATCAATGTATTCTATATCATCGACCATTTGCTTGTTTTTTAATTCTAAGAATTTAGATCTTCCCATGTGCCCCAAACGCCTATGCTATAATTCATAATTATTATTTAAAACATGATTTATTTGAACATTAATACTGCTTACCCTTTTTGCATTTATTTCTAAGTCCACTGCAATTAAATTATTTAAGGGCTTACCAGTCATGATGGTTTTACCATTTTTTTCGATGGTCACACCATTTGTATCGAAGATGGTACTCATTCCTTTTTGCTGCATCCTTCGCACGGACAAAAGGTTGTACGGTACTTCCGCACAGTAAAGGACATCTTCTAGTTTGCTTTCCTCGTAGCTGTGATGAATGCTCCGGTCTTTGCTATAGAAATTTTCACGGTCGGCTGTAATTCTTCAAAATCGGAGAACACATTGTCCTTGTTGATTAAGTGGTCCGACGCTCTGGAATCCAAAAGAAAAATTAATTTTCCTTTTTCTTCCATTACATGGTCGTCCCCAGCCATAAATGCAAATCCTGATGTACTCTCTTCTGCCCCCTTCGGTTCTGCTTCGGCTGTTTGAACAGTTTGAACAGTTCTTTTTCGCTGCTCTTTATACTGGAGGCTCCTCTGATAATGAAAGCAGTCTCTAATTTTATGTCCCTTCCTTCCGAAGTGATGACACTTAATCATTGACGCACTATTTTTCGACCTCGAGAATTATTTTTTATATTTTTTATAAATTTGAGGTCTACTCGAGCCACTCGCACCTCTAAAGTTATGTCCTTTAATATTTTGTGTGTTCACTTGCTGAGCTTGAAGCACCTTTTCACTCGTTGAACTGCACTCCGCTTTTAATTTTACCTCATGATCCAATAATCGTGTCTTTACAAATGCCAATGTTATATTATCTTCCGATAAAGTTTCTATCGCAATTATAACACCATCATAGTTCGTTGGAAGTGTTAATAAAAGGTGTGACACTTTATCCGTCTCTTCCATTTTCGCTCCTGCTGCCGACAGTTCAGTGATCAGATCATCAAAGACTGTAAAATGTTTCACAAGAGATATATCACCCTGCAATTTAAGACTTAATCATTTTTTTCTTATCGCCAATTGAGTTGCTAAACTCTTCCTTTCATATATTGCGTCCGAATTTTCCAAAATTTCCCTCGCGGTACTCCCTGTACTCGCGAACCCGAGAAAGAAATCAGATAAGTATTCCACGATAACATTTTTGGCGACCCTCTCATTGTGAGCTTTAATCCATTCGATGGTCAACATGTCTGGAGCTTTTTCATCGATCACCTTTATCACGTCTAGTTCGCTCATTAGAGCACGCACTCTCAGCTTCCAAACACTATAACGCTCACAATCGAAAGATTTAATGTTTCTTTTTGCCTTTAAATTTTCCATCATTTTTTTGTCTTTTTTTTTAAACTAACACACGAATATTTAAAAAAAAATGAAATGCCACTAAATATAGATCTATACACTATTTAATAAAAAAAAACTAATCACTATATTTAGTCACTATAGTTTCTTAAACACTATATTATTAGTCTGTCACCTTTTCAAACCACAAAGTTAATAATTAAATTGTTCACTGGGCCCATAACCTATTGGATTATGGGATTTATTCTAATAAAAACGCAATATATTTCAACACAAAATTAGACTTTATTTCAAGGATTGGAAGGACGTCTTCTCTCTATAACGCTTTGAAACGAAGTGGCGAGAAAGTCCGTAAGGACAAAGTTAAAAGTCTGTTGCCCACTTATAGATTCTAGAAAGACCAAAACTGCATTCAGCCTGTTACCCAGGCCCTCAGGTATAAACAGTCCCAGGCTTATGGGTCCGTTGACATCTGGTCCGAAAACAAAACGTTGAAGCACGCAGTGTTTCTCAGATATACTAAATTTATTTTTGCTTTCTAGCTGACGCATTATAAATAATCCAACATTTACTTTTCACATTCCAAAGCTCAGGTAAAAGCTCCCACCGCGTAATTAATTTAAAACTTTCTTCTTTTGACCACAACTTTTTCTCTGTCATTTTTGTTGAACTCTCGGTAAATCTTTCGGGCCGTTGGAAAGTGTGGATTACTGTCCGCCATAAAGAAAGTAGGTGTATACACTGCAAACAATTGCCGCAACCGAGTTCAACTTGCTGACAGTTATCTCGGACGTGTCTACACACTTCTCGCGAGAATCGCTCTCGCAAAAAATAAGCAAATTACTTGCTAGTGAACACGCACCATTAGATTCGGACGACGATAAGGTGCTTGAATTTGAAGTGCGATAGTTATATTTTAATGCAATTCTTTCGCGATTTGAAAACTGGAATAATTACGAGGGAACAAACCTAGAGGAAAACTTCCAGGACCAGACGGTCGCATAGGCCGCCCCTCGTTTTAAGGATTGTGTTACGTCCCGGCGGAAAATTTGAAATTTATCCGCCTTGCGTCCCTTATCAAGCCCTTTTGGGTTACGAGGATTTCTCATGTGAGGGGCGTATGGGCGGGTGTTTCGGTTTTCCGCCAACCTTTTCATTCCTCCTCGACCTTGTACATTCTTGTCAAGCCTTTCGAGGTTACGAGAATTTCTCATGCAGGGATGTACAGGGAAGAGTTTGAGTTTAATTCCTTTCTATTTTTAACTTCCTCTATCGCTTTCTCTTCTTTACCTGCTCTACCCTGGAATCGTGTATCTCGTCAAGCTCTTTCGAGGGTTACGAGAATTCCTCATGCGAGGTACACGCGGAAAGGTCGTTTCTATTTTCTACTTTTCAATAGTTTACGTGACCCTCCTTGAAACTATCGTCGCCAGCCATTGTAATAAGAAGCTAATACGCACAAAAACTCGGGTTAGCTCGAGTGAGAGAGAGAGAGAGCCGTAGCAATAACACCAGCGCTACGCAGTTAGCCAGTGCTTCGCATTTCGGGAATTTCCCTTGGTAACTGCGTAGAAACGGGAAAATCGTAATAACTCTTTTGTTGGGTACCTCTTTCTCACTCTGTTGCACAAAGCGTCAGCCGGTCCAACAAGGATCATCGCTACCTGATTGTAATAATAGTATGAGAGAGTGGATGGATGAAACAAATTTAAACAATGAAAGTAAGAATTGAGAACCCTTACGAAAGCGAACGTCGCGAACGTTCGACCGCCGTTCGAAAATCAAGGGTCGTTCGAAGCAATAAACACTATTGTATCGGAATTCTAAGAACTGCCTAGCGATAACGGCAAATTTTGAACAAAGGAACGTTCTCGAAGGAACGTTCGCCAGATCTAGAATTGTTTAAAAATTTATAAAATGCGAAATACCAAATATATCGAGGCGATAGCTTTAATGCGCGATAGATTGCATAATACGCCACGGCGTTACAACCACCGTAAGCGCATCATCCGCTGTCAAACATATAAAATCATACTGTTTTATTGCAAATCGGGATGAATAATTCAATCACGATATACGAACGACGGTTTCCTATCAAACCCGATATTTCAATTTTAATTTATATTTCAATATCAAATCTCAAATTGCACACCAGTTAAACTAATAGTTACATCTCGAATAAATGCCGTTAATTAATTATATGTATAACGAGAAATACTGCGTAGTTTCTGAAAACCGTTGAAACTATCATGGCGACGAATGAGAAAAGGAAGGAACACCAAAGAAAGGGGATGAAAGATCTTCGTCTAGCTCGCGCGTCTTAGCCAATCACCGGGCACGCGACACTTCCGAAAACGGGCTACGATTCGCCAAACCGTCCCCCCCAAGGACGATGTTCGCGCGACGGGCCCTTCGGCCGTCGATCGCGCACGAAATTTGTCACTCTTGATCGATCAATCGTAAGTACGTGATCGGGAGCCCGTGTGTCCGAGAGACAGAGTTATTCGGAAATTCGCGATATTTTCTCTGCGGTAAAGTCCTCCGCGTAGCGAGGCAGAGTGCCGTGCGAGTTAAAATAATCGGTATTCTGAATAAGGACTCACAGACGCGCACGTAAAATCTTCCTTCTACCTAAATTTTCTATCTTTTCTTTCCGATTTTAAATCGTTTGCTCGCGTAGTTCTTCGTACTAACTTCACCCCGCGTAATTATATTCGTTGTAATCGTAATTAATCGTAAATCGTTATTCGTTTGTCTCTCGTCGACGTACTCGTCCGTAATAATCCGTTTCTCGCCGCGACAAGTGCAGTGATCGACGATCTTACCGTTTCTTTGGTGTTCCAGATCATCGAGCGATTACACCAAACCTAGCAAGCCAATTTACCTTGTATTTTATTGTACACCGTAACGGTAAGTCGTTTCAGTTACATTTTTCGATCACGACGTTATTCAATTGGCAAAACGGGCGATCTGGTCCAGCCCTTCAAGGTTACGAGAATTCCTCAGGTCAGATCGTTCCACCGTACGAGGTATTGATATCATCCAATATTAAATACTATTTTCGGTTATTACAATTTCGCAATTCCAGTCTCTTTCCATCATCCGAAGGGCACCTTAGTCCAGCTCTTTCGAGAGTTACGAGAATTTCTCAGGCTGGGGTGCACCGCAGGCGGAAACCGCCAATCGTATAGTTAAATTCGGAGAGCGAAATTGTTATAATCATTTTTACGCGCCCGGTAATATACTCGTCGGTTTCAAATGTGATATCAGAGTGTTTTATATTCATATATATATATATATATACCTTGTTAACTAATCTTAAGCATCTTTACATTTGTTCACATTTTTGCAGAACTGGTAATTTTCAATTTAATCAAATTTCTAAATTATTGAACTCATAATTTTGGCAATTATCTGATTTTCATTCACGATTAAACCAGTTTCATTTAGTTAAACAGTTTCCTTTTATTTCGAACACACCTCACACGTTTCAGTTAAAACACGCCTACCAACATACCCAGATTCAAGGAGGGTCCCGTACGGGACCAAGCGCTGAACGAACCCAACGAAAGGCTAATAATTATAATCTTTTAATATCTTATCAATTTTGTCTTTCGTCTTTTAATTTGTCGAGAGCGTTAATACGCTCGAGACTGGTGGCAGCGATACCAACCATCGCGCTAAAATAGGGAAGCAGGAATTAGGGGTTGAATTCCAACCAATTAATTGAAATTTAACTACCTAAAATCTTCTCTTTCCTTTTTACGTTGCGCGCCGTCGCTCGCGCGCAACGTAACAATTGAAAATTACATTAACAGAACAAAAGACGATAATAATAACTGAATACCTGAATTCGATGTGGAACGATCTAGTGGAATATTTCCAAGACGACGGTCACGTAAATCGCCCGTTTTGTTTCACGTAAATCAGATTGTCGTATTAATAGATAAAACTAATATATGATAATACTTTATTGGCGTTGCGTAACCTATACAGCAGTTTAGTCTCAAAAAGCCATTTTTTCGACTTTGAACTATACGTATTTCAAAACCTAGCCATTTTTGGACTTCGTGTCGATTATGACTTTTGATCAGCACAACTTTTCTGAAACTTTCAGACAATTCGACCGAAATTCAATTTTCATAAGGGTGTGTGCAGGGTCCTTTATTAATTATATTTAATAGCTGTTTCTTTATTTTCACTATGTAGACTAGACGAAAATGTACATTTGGTTAAAGTTTTGTTGCTTTTAAATATTATCAATTACCTTATCCTATAAATTGTGCAATATTTTTGTAAGTTCTCTGAAGTTCTTCAGAATTCTTGTAAAATATAATCTAATTTCTCGTTTCTCGAGAAGCGAAAAATATCGAGAGATTAGGAACACTAATAGGTACGTCAATTATCGAATATCTGTCTAATTGTAAGAACTCCCATATATTCTTCAAAACAGCATAACTTCTTTAATATTGGTTCATATGATTTGAATTATTTGGAAAAGTTAGTGGGAGCTAGTTTCAACATTTTTTTTTTAACTGTCAAAAAAATGTAAAAGTTGTATTTTTTAAATTTTTTATCTGAATCTATAATGCAATTTTGTATGGCACATTTTAAAACTCTATATTATAATAGTTATGTACAGAGTAAAATTTCATTGAAAGGGTATAGCAGGATAAGATGGTCAAAAGTGCCCTCGAGCCGAATTTGCTTCGCAATGCACCATTCGATAGCATGTCCCAAAAAACCATGGTACACAAAGTTTCAACCCTGTACCTCAACCGGGAGGGTAGTTACAGGGTAAGAAAGAAAAAGTAGTTTTTGCCATATTTTCCGTATTTAATGGGATTCAAAAAATCTAAGAAAATTCTAGAATATTCTAGCCATGTTTCTTTATGATTGTGAATTTTTTCAGATTTTTAGGTTGCAAATCCTAGGCGTGAAAAATCAAAAACGCAAAAAAAAGACGAAAAATTGAGATTTCGGGTAGAAGCTTTCGAGACACTAGATTTTTACTTTTACAGTAGTTAGATATTAGCATGACTGGTGTACCCAATTTTTTTCAGATTTTTCATTCTGGTGCGTCAAACCGAAAAAAATCAAAAACCGATATTTTCGACATATTTCGTGCGATAACATGAGAAATACTTTCAATCTTTACATTTCCTTTACACACTTAGTGCATTATGTGTTTTCTAACATTTTTGCACTGGATGCAGTAAAATCTGAATGGAGAGAGTGAAGTTATTGTAAATAATTGAAAATTACGCACCGTATCCTCTAAAATATTAGAAGGTTTTTCAACGTCGCTGATGGGTAAGTCGGTATGGTGTCCGACTGTGGAACTGCTGGAAACTTTTTTGTCTCGAGTTCGCGCCCCATGAACAATCAGTTTTATTTTTTTTCATAAAACAATTTTTTTTTAAATTATTAATTGCATTACAATACACAATAATCATTTAATAATGTATGAAAATAATTTTGAAATATTTTATTATTAAGTATGCATAAAAATAAGTGGTTCAATATCCATCATAAACCAACAACCACGCGGTTTTTCAATTAACAAAATATTGGGAGCTATCCGTAATTAGAACAATAAGTAATCAGAAAATCGGTAGTGCACCACTTATTTTTATGTATACTTAATAATAAAATATTTCAAAATTATTTTCATACGTTATTAAATGATTATTGTGTATTGTAATGCAATTAATAATTTTAAAAAAAAATTGTTTTATGAAAAAAAATAAAACTGATCATTCATGGGGCGCGAACTCGACACAAAAAAGTTTCCAGCGGTTCCACAGTCGGACACCATACCGACTTACCCATCAGCGACGTTGAAAAACCTTCTAATATTTTAGAGGATACGGTGCTTATTTTCAATTATTTACAATAACTTCACTCTCTCCATTCAGATTTTATTGCATCCAGTGCAAAAATGTTAGAAAACACATAATGTACTAAGTGTGTAAAGGAAATGTAAAGATTGAAAGTATTTCTCATGTTATCGCACGAAATATGTCGAAAATATCGGTTTTTGATTTTTTT